GTAGTCTCCTCCAGCAATAAAGCGCGATCCGAAGGATTGAAATAAGGATTCAAGTAAGTTATAGGTAAGAGTATGACCGGGAGGACAGTATACAGCTGAGAATGTTAAATGGAAAGGACGAGTTGAAATGATAACCGAGGTTGCTTGAATAGCCTCCGTTGGAGTAGAAGGAATGAGAGAATGGGATAAGGATTTATGGATAAGGATGCAAGAACCGGCATGGGAAGTGTTGTCGGGGTGATCTGATCTATAAGTGATATAGTCACGTATGTAGAAATATGAACGTCGAGTGAAGTGAGTTTCTGTCAGTAGAGCAATATCAATGTGATAGTCATGAAGAAAAATGTCGAGTTCGTCTCGGTGGTTTTGTAGTCCGTTAGCATTCCATAAAAGAACAGCTAGGGGCTTAGTGCTCATCGTGAGAGATTGAAGGGAATTTCGGTAAGGATTCTTGTGAGGAGGGTAATTAGTGGCTTGATAGTCTCTTGGAGATCTTTCAGGAAGGACGCAAGGGTGGAGTTTATTAAATCGATCGGGTTTTGTTGGTCAGGTTGGTTTTGATTAGGAGTTCGTGAGGGAAAGATCTTATGATAAGGAGTGTCTGATGAAGGATGTACCCTTGGAACTTGGGAAGGAGAGTAAATATGAGCAGAAGGGTGGGAATAAACAGGAGTTGGATGTTCGGGCGGTAATTTTACACGTATAGGTATCTGGTGAGGAGGCATTTGCTGACGTGGAGATTTTGAATGAATGTGGGAGATTTGAGTCTTGGATTGGGAGGTCTGGATCTTAGGTTTGGAAGCCTGAGTCTTAGTTTTGGAAATCTGAGGCGTCTGACGTCGCGGCTGTTGATTCTTCACCGTAGTGTCTGAATATAGGTGCCTAGAGTCTTGATGGGGATGATCTGTTGATGTAGAAGGGTTGTGCGTCAATTGTGGTATTATTTCGTTCGGCAGTTGAGGAAACGCTGCCAAATTTAGGAGTTCAGGTGCCTGTACCTGTGCCTGGGTAGAATTCTTCTGTTCTTCTTTTAATGATAAATTATAAGTTCTTTGCTTGTATAGCTTCTTATAGATAATGCAGCCCCGATAGGTTGCAGGGTGGTCCTCACCACAAAGGGCACATTTTGGTGGTTCATTTAACGGTTTCTGGCAGGTGTTAGAGGCGTGAGGCCCGGCGCATTTAACGCAACGCACCGAGTGATGGCAGTAAGCCTTTGTATGCCCTAAGTTTTGGCACTTGGTGCATTGAACGACTATTGGTTTCTGCCTCGGCTCTTCAAATTTTACAACAGAATACAGCAGTCTTTTAACTTCGAAGATTTCTGCATTATTCCGGGCTGGTTCTAGATCGATGAAAAATAATGGCAGTGGATATTTATCAATAGGATGTAAAATAGAAGATATATGTCTTACCGAATGGCCGATATCTTCCAGATCTTTTTTTATAGCGGTAGTGGGTGTGGTAGAGTGAAGACCTCTCAAAACCACTCTATATGTTTTGTCTTCTTTTAGTTGATAGCAGTGGAAGTCGTGATTGAGTGCTGTCAAATGATTTATAAGTTTTTTATAATCATCTTTAGTATTGGTGTTAATCTTTATATCGTTGACTCGAGAAAAACACCGGAAGTTGGTCGGTCCGATCAGATTAGCTATTTCTTGACCGAACTGAATGAAATTGTCAATCTTGCTTACATAAATCGGAGGTGGCACTGGTTCAGTGAAAGTTCTAGGTTCAGTGATTTCGTTAATTTTATTATTGGCTGTAACAGAATTGTTACTGGATGTGTTAGTTGATGGTTTAGTGTCAGGTTTCATAGCTGAATTATTACTAGTTTTTGATTGTTTATTTACTTTGAGAGCTTGCTTTGTTTTAGCGGATTTGTTTTTTTTTTTATTAGGTGAGTTGCCCGCCGAACCGGGGGCAGAGTTTCTATGGCGCTTTTGGAGAGTTCGCCTTGTTAAATATTGAGAATCAGTCTCACTGATTTCGGAGAAAGGAGTCTCTTCATCTGATTCGTCAAAAGAAATGTTCTTATCAGAATCCATACCTCTAAATAATAATATATACAAAAAGAAGAGAGAAAAAAAAAAGTATCACTAATAAGAAAATTTACAAAACAAATACTTAATAACTAATCTATTTACAAATATATATACAAATATTAAAAAAAACATTTTATAAATAAATAAAATAGAGTCTCAGTAGAAAAAAAAAATATTAAAATAAAATAATCAATTAAGAAATAAAAACAGAGAAAAAAAAAATATATATACTGTCTTAGGTACGAACTCAAGATATTCTGAACGTAAAATAAAGCGCCGTGACCTTGAATTTGAAAGATAAGACCCGCTGAGGGGAATTATCTGCCACGTAAACTGTCTCTAGCAATCGAGTACCAATTTAATGTTGCTAATTGTTAATAAAAGTCACTCACCTCACTGATTGAAAAATAATTTTATTCTGGGACTACTGTCCCCTAAGAATAATAACAGAGTTACAGATTTATGGATCTTAGTCTGACATAATAAAAATACAAACTTTTTTGGTACTGAAGACTTGGAAAAGGAAAACACCAAGGAGGAATTGTCGTCGGGAAGTAGGATAAAGCCACTTCAACACGGTGTACCAGAGTGAAACATGTGAACGCCTGGGGATCCCGAAAATGTATCTTATGAAACAATTCATGAGTCTCTTTTAATTAATTAGTGGTGTGCAATCTTGTGTGAAAAAGCCGGTTCTGATATATAATTTTGAGACATGGATTCTAACCAATACCCAATAAAGAATAACTGAAAGATTTGATATAATTGTCCTTTCAGATATTATACAGAGCGATCTGAGATTACAATACTAAAACACAACATGGGGGAGATGGAGGACAGTCAAAAACTGCTTACAGAAACTGGCCAATCACTACCTCGTATTATAAAGGTAAGGAGATTAATCAGCACAGCATATAGCTCGAAATAATCCAATATTTTCTTATTGGACAGTCAGATTTTCTCTTTTTTTCTCCTCAGAACGATCTTTTTAAGATTTTTAATCCTTTTCGCTCAAATATATACAAAATAACACGCAATATTACACGTAACTACTCGTTTCATATCTGTTTTACTTTATTACCTTTAAAAAATAGATTAAACAGGGTCAAACTAGGCTTCGATTGACAAAATTGTCTCCCTTTTTTCCCTACCTATCTTGGAATTTTCCGTATAAGGGAATTTTTTCAACAAACTGGAAACCCAACTCTCCTCAGCAATGAATGGGAACCACATGCCAATAAAATAAGTGCAGTTAACTGGAAAGCAGCAGCCCAAGCTAGAAGAGATGAAGGAGTTTTAAATTGTACTACAAATATTAATTCGGGGGGAGCGGTGGCCGAATAGGCTAAAGCGTGTGCACAGCACCGCTAGTTGCCTGGCAACCGGATTACAGAGAATTGAGATGATTTAAAAAGTACGAGTTCGCGTCCCGGTGCCGGAGGAGATTTTAAATTCCCCGCCCTCACCCCCCGGCCCGGGAAAATCCCATATAGCCTAAAAGGCGAGGTAGGGAAGAACAAAAAAAAAAAAAATATATATATATATATATATATATATATATTAATTCGTTCATTTATTTAGTTATAAAAATCTTTTATATTTTAAATTTATCCATTTTTCATTACTAATATTTTTATTGTTACTGTTTATGTAATCCATTTTTATTATTAAAGTAATAAAGTAAAAGTACTTTTGAGGCAGACATTATTGAAATTCGGTGTTTAAGCTGTCAGACTGTTTCAATAAGGAGAACACTCTTCTGATATTAAAGATAATTTAAGTATATATTGGTGTTAAAGAATTTAATAAAAAATGTTAGACCTCTTTACCAGAAAATACTAAAAAAAGTATAAAATCGGTTATATTATATAAAATGGCACTTCATGTAAGTCTAGATTAGAAAAATAATTGCTGAAATATTCTAGTTATCTGCTGATCTTAAATTCGAAATTTCAGTTTTGTATGACTTTTCGTATTTGGTCTTGCTTTCACATACAAACAGACCATTTTGCAAGAATAGGTTATTTGAAATCGGAAGAAATATATTTCATTTGTAACCCACTATAATAAAAATATGTAAAAACCGCGATATCTCTATTAATAGTGCTTTGATTTCGATGAAACTTCCTTCATTTTTAGGAAATTTAAATACCTTTGAAACATCTTATCACCGTATCAATAAAAAGTATAAACTTTTCGAGTTATTCGGAATTTAATTTTACCATCCCTTGTAACTTTTTTTCCAGCTTCTTTTCGTTGAAGTATGTTATATAGATAAATTTAAAAGGCGTCGAGAAAAAGACTTTAGCGAAGTTTCATTGAAATCTGTACATTCGTTTAGGAGCTACAGTCTATAGCAACGCAGGTTTTTCGGCCGCCATTTTCAAAGTAAAAGGCGGATAGTAATGTCGATGAAGGAGGATCATCCTCGGGTGACCTCTGATTTTATATCAAAATTTGAAAATAATCGGTCCAGTAGTTTCGGAGGAAATGGGCGGATGGCAGACGGACAAAAAAAAATTTATTCGTTTTTCGAATTCTACGCGTCCTGAAACGTGAAACCTCAAATTTTGAGAGGGGATTAAGTTTTTTAATTTTTTGGTCGATCACAATGGTTGATTAGTGAAAATAATAAACCAAAATTTTACGATCACAATATTTTCTCTTACTAAGTATTTAATATTCAAGCATGTGAAGTAAAAGAACAAAATAACTCCTTTATATACTCCTTCAGATTTTATACTGCAAATAAACTGAATTTGACCGAACTTGACCTCAAGTGATTTCATCTGAGTACAAGTAATGAATAGTACCTAGTTACCTTATCTACCGTACCTAGTGAAACTCAATTCTCAACATTCAATGGTTGACAACATTTCATAAGGGATACAAAAAGCTATTTTATCTTCTAAAGTATCGATTAAATTTGAATCATAAATTGAAAAATCTTATCGATTAACTTACATTACAGGAATCTTTCCTGTCCTCGTGGGCACAGAGCTGAGACCCAGACATGTCTATGTTAGACCAGGACTGTTTGCACTTGTCGAGAGGGATCACTTTGAGATCAACTTCTCGAAGGAAATTCTCTTCGGCCGTGCCCTTGGTAGTTCCCCAACCTGGAGAACCGAAAATAATTTATTAAATAGTCAACATTTCTCCATATTTGAACCTGAATAAGAAAACTTACCCATGACTTTGATGTATTCTCCGTCCAAATTGGACTTCTCCTTCCACAAGCACACTGGGCCTACCTCTTGGTTGAAACTTATTGGAGTGCTGGTCACTAGGATGGCGATGTCATTGAGGATCTGCTTATCGTCGTAGGATTCGTGCTCGATGATCTTTGAGATTTTATATTGCACCGCATGTTTGTCTTCGTCTGCAAGAAAAAAGAGCAATCACCATAAAATTTACTTTTGGAAATAGAGAGCGGGCGTTGGCAAGCATAATAAGAGAAAATATATGTGGAAGGAAACAATAACCAGTTAGATATTTGAATGGATTTAAAAGTAAATAAACTCGCTTATATTCTTTCTTAACGCGAAATGAGGCACCTTCTTTAAAAAGAAGACACCAACGTAATTTGCTGAGAAAAATGGAGAAAGAAACATAAGAAAGGCAAAGGTTTTACGAGGCTAAACAAGGCGGAATTCCGAGATGTACATGCGATTTATAAAATTCTTATAACAGCATCAAGAAGTTTGAAATGAACATGTCACTAAATAAAAATGATTAAAAAATGTTTTCTCTTTGAATCATTCTCTACATACAGTGCAAACATATATAGTAAAAAAAAATTGTTCAATTAAATAATTCTGTCTATCCTGTAGTAGACATCTCCCAGTATTTACTCCTTTATGTGACATTGTGTGAGGGAATGAGAAGAATGTGAGGTTGCACTGTGAATTGTACTCAATTATGCAGTGGATAAATTATTCATGGAAAAGTTTCATATCGATGAAGAAGGACGCTAGCAACAGCTGGCAGAAGGACACAGAGAAGATAACTTGAGGCAAGGACACGAAGACGTCAGCTGGGAAGAGAGGCTTACTACATTGAAGACCAACATTATCAAGCCTACAGTTATGAGACTTTAATATATTCATTTATATCAGTTACTGGATTAAATTGTTTTGTTAGACAGGAGTGAAAAGTTATTTATATACTTAGTTGTCATATATGCTTCGCAACTGAAGAATAACAAACCAGGCGAGTCAATTCATTTAAAGTGTATTTACTAAGTCCCACATTTCATATATATATTCTTATTGTTTCTTGCCACTCAGTGTCACAAAAGGTATTAAATTTCCGAATTCCTAACGACAGTTAAACACCCTCAAAAAGTCTATATCCAGTGCCGGGGTTTTGTTTTAATATTCACGGGTGTAAATAATCGAGTTCTCCGATATAAAAGCGGAAGGCTATTCGCCAATTCCCGCCAAAAAGGAATATTTAAAATTAACTTTTACTAGGTTATTTACAATCCTTATAAATTATTAGCGGATTCAGGATTTAATTTTGAGGGGGCTTCAGCCTGAAAGCTTTTTGTTTTCAAATGACGATAATTAGTTTGGAAAAAAAAGAAAGAAACTGACTACCTATATGAAATGGTGTTTAAGTGATACTTAAAGTCTTTTTAAGTGTAATTGCAGGAAAAATAATACTTGAAGCTATCATTTTTTCCATAAGACATGGTTATATTTTACCATTTTGGAAGGAGGGGGAGCTCTCCCTTAGATCCGTCTACAAATTAAGGTTCCCTTTGACATGTCTAAATTATAACATTAAGAACCTAGTTGTAATTATCGATATTCAGAATTATCGAACTATCGCCAAAGTTACTACAAAGGTTCAGTGGAATGAAAAATGTAGAAATGATCGTAGTTCGTACTTACGCATGGAATGACGTCCTACGGAAACGGTGATCTTCTCCGGTGAGCTGCCGGCGGTGCAGTGTGCCGCGGTGAGGATGTGCCACGGAGAGATGATGGATCCGCCGCAGCCGGTGCTCAGCGACACCATCCAAGGGTACTCGTTCTTCCGGGTCTCCTTTCCGCCGACGATCCTGCCCTGGAATGGAACACACCTTACAGAACTGCCAACTTGGATCTAGGGTAAATAATAAAAGGCTCAGCGAACCCGAAGGTTCGATGCCAACACCACCAATCGCTTATTACACACCTCCCTCCACCGTTCGCCGTCTAAACCCATTCCCTTCAGATCGGCTTTAATGCAATCTTCCTATCTTCGCTTCGGTCTACCCCTCGGACGTTTACCATTCGATACAGCAAATATTAACCTTTTAGGAATTCTCTCGTTACCAAGCCCAATAATTTTACAAGCCAATTCGATTTGCCGCGATGAAATTACCTCAATTATATTTCCCGGATACAGTTCACACAATTCGGCGTTGTGTAACCGTCTGAACTCATCCTGTTAACTCATCCTTCTTCGGTTCGAATATTCTACGCAATACTTTATTTTCAAAAACCATAAGACGCTGCTCATTCCTTAATGTAAGCGGACTGGAAAAAGTCCCCTTTAGAAGGCTCCAGTAGCTGACAAGCATTGAATATCCAATTTATTCATTAAGATAAGTTAAAAACAGATAAAAAATAATTTAAATACACTCCCAAAAACAATCAAACAAAAATTTTGGGAATGTAGTTAAGATAAAAAGGCAAACCTTAAGTATGTGGGGAACGTGAGGGACCTTCCTGATTTACCACTCATTATTTAGGTTGCCGGAAAAATATAGAAGGAGAAAATATATGAAATAGAGGTCTGGGAAGTTCTGAAAGTTTATTATTCGCATTTTTTGAGGAGGTTGTAAGATATTGGTGCACTGTTATCTATTGGTGATTTTACCCTATAGCTTTATACAATATATACAATTACATTATACAATTACCCTATAGTTAATACAATACTTGTTTGTATGATCGCGTGTCTACTCACAGAGTTCCTCCATCCACAGTTGCAGCTGAGATCTCGGGATCTCTTCTCGTGAGTGTCTTGGTAGTTGTACCCCAAGGAGAGGCTCACTGTCACAGCTAATACCAAAAGAACCTTCATCGCTGTAACAAGGAAAAGGATTTTCATGTGAAATAAAAATATAAATACTTTCAAGTATATATTCTTAATTTTTTTTTACAAATCTATACGTTTATATAAAAGAACAATGGCGTTTTTTGTTTATATTTGCTAACTGTCAAAACTACAGAACTTACATACACGTCGTTTTTTTCCAAAATGGTGGTCTCGAGAAGGTTTTAGATTACAAAATGTCAGGAATTTCATTAAAATGTTCTTTAATGAGTTAACCGACGATTGAAACGTAGAAATTTAGACTAAAATTCCAGCATAGGCACAGAATTTCCATTTCGATTGGAAAACGAAAGATAAAAAAAAAATGGCGATAGTTCTTGAATGGATATACTTGGAAATATATAAACAAAAAATATATATTTATTACAATTTATATTCATTAAACATGGAAGGAAGGGGGACAAGCTTCGTAGCCTGGGTACATGTTAAAAAACCGAAAAATATTTTTTATTTCTTGGTTTGCACAAACTTTATATAAAAATACAATGTTTTCACAGTCTAACTAGTTATGTAGAAATGTTCTCTATGAAATATATTTATACTTATTGTATATATTTTTCCAAATTTATCACGTGTAGGATATAGAAAATCACGTGAAAAAGATGTGTATATGAGAGATGAATGAATCATAAAATTCGAGAAAATGTTTCTGCATAATCTTTCCTGAATGTAAATTTAAATAATGGGAATATTTAGGTCGTGATAAAATAGTTATGTACCTACTTATAAGCCTTAGCCCAGCCAGCTTGTCGAAGTTTCATAATAGATTTTGGTTTAGATATTTTATTCATTTATCTATCTTATTCGTTAACAATTTTAATTTTTTTTACATCAAATTATTGGGGAGGAGAGAGTAAAATAATATTCTCACCCCTTCAACATTTTTATTGGAAGTGATCGCTTTCCCTCCCCTCCCCCGTAGTTTGCGCCAACAATCATAAACGTAAATTATAGCAACTACTATAAAAATAATAATAATAATAGAAAAAGAGCAGGGAGGAATTTTTGAGTATATATGCGTCAGCTTAAGAAATGTCATGTTTAGATCAGGATATCTATGTAACAAGTATATACTGATTCCACAGCAGTATCACATTCAGGATTCAATTTTGAGGAATAAATACTTTTCTTTTACTTTCTCTTACCTATATATGAAATATATAATAAGGAAATGTATTGCGATCGTGAAAATTTTCGAATCTCAGTTTTCAACGGAAATACACGTTGTGAGGTCTTCTGAATCCAAATAACTAAGTCCCACAAAATGGTATGTGTGTATGTGTGTGTGTTAACAGCCTAGCTCAAAAACGAAAAGTAGTACGCAAGTGAAATTGCATATTTAAGGTTTTTATATACCTGAGATGTTACAGCAACTTATAATAATAAAATTACCCACAATGAAATATAAATCAATATACCGTTTGTAATTCTTACTTTCACTTCCCCTTTGTCTAAAAATATTTATATCTGCTAAGAAGAGAGTGGTAAGAGAAAGTTGTGTGATTAGCGCTTCTCACCAGATTTTTTTTTTTCATAAAACGGAAATTATAGGAACAATAATGTTACTAGGAATAAAACTTTATCAGAGTACTTGATACCTGCTTATATTTGGTAAGTGAAGTACAAGCGTTACAATTTAAACATATTCTGATCAATTTTATATTTGGCTCAGAACAGTCATAGAAACAAATATGGATCAACGAAAACCAAGAAATATTAATATTAATAATACAAACTATTGTTCACTTTAAATTAATTATTTTAGTCTTTCTTAAAATACTTTAACATTATTAGTATAAAAACTATAAAACTGAAGGCGCTCTTTTAAGTCAAATCAGTTTTCAGTGATTGGTCCACAGGCGGATCTACGGAGGGGGGGGGACTTTCGGGTTGAAGCTTCCCCCCCCCCAAAATGGTAAAATATACAGAAAAAAATATTAAAAACAACCTCTTAAAGTATTCTTGTTCGTTTAATTACATTTAATAGGACTTCAAGAACCACTTAAACACCATTTCATATAGATAGTTAATTTCTTTCTTTTTTAAACAAAATAATTATCGTTATATGTATATGAAAAAAAAATCTTTCGGGCTGAAGCCCCCTCAAAATTAATTTCTGGATCCGCTAGTGGATTGGTCTGTTAAATAAATTTCTGTTTTAAGATGAATAGATGCACCACTGCCTTGAGCACGTTATGTATATAAAACAGGTATAAAGATATTTGTAAATAAATTTCTAATTCTTCAGAAAATGGAAAATACTCTGTTACAACAGAGGTAAGGTAATGAGGAATTTTTTTCAAGCAAGAGAACAAAAAGTCAAAGATTTGCTGCATTTATAGTGGATTAACTTTAAAGCATCTGTCTCAGCGAATGCATCATTGGATTAATATAAGTTAACTGACATCTGAGTCTTATTGATTAACTGTTAAACTGAAGGTATATTTTACAGTGTGACAAGCTAATTAGTAATTAAGTAAAATATTACTTAAACATTGTCAATATAAAGTATTTAACTTTATCAATTGTATTTTTTATCTTCTTAGTAATAATATATTAATTAGACGACGATGATATGTATTAATAACATATACATAGAAGAGAATAAGATTAGAACTACTTACCGTACTAAGAGAAGAACTGGAACCAGAACTGGAAGTCCAATGATTAAGGAGTTCTTCCCCTGGCTTATATAGTCCCGATGGTTATTTGATTATTAGTAGGCAATCAGAGGTTGCTTGTTCCTGGAATATTTGTCCAGTTGGTAACTGGCATACTTATCCAGCTCCAGGGTCGAGTATAGTTTACACTGGAAGGTCTACTTAGATGCTGGAAGGCCTTCATCGTATCTAGAATAAATGTTATCTCCTTTTTTATTTATATATAAAGTTCTTACATATAAACATATTTTAAAAGCCATTTAATATGAGTACAGTACACCTTTAAGTCTTCACTACAGGTTTATTAGTTCAATAAAAATCTCTTAGATATGAATAAATATTTATTGGAGATAGATATATAGGGTGCCCCCTCCCACAAGTAGAAAGAAATTTTCATAGGAGTGATAGAAGATCTCAACAGCTACAAAAAATTCGTATAAACAATGGGCCATTTTTTAACAGAATAGTAGGAAATCCAATTTTTGTATTTTTAAAGTAAATAATTTTGTTTGTTGGGGTTTCAAGGCGTAAAACATCCAGGGCATCAACGCCTGCAAATTAATCTTTTTTATCTTTGGATTACATTAAAGTAAATCATTTTTATTTTTTTTTGCTTCAACACAACCGAAGGTAGCGAAGCATTTAGTCCATGGTACCCCTTTTTATCAAATTATTATCATCTGACTGAAACTTTGTAAATAGCTTCATCTCATCGTAACCTACAAATATTTTATTTAAGAAAATTCTCGGAATTGTGGCGTTTTCAATCAGGAGGTCGGTAGACTTTTTCTATTTAATTAGGTATTAAAAACTTGTAAATACCCATTGGCTTCACACTTAAATCGTATGATAACTTGAGCAAAATGTGGAGAAAAAGGTGGCCTTCAAAATTATTGAGTAGTTTGGCCTATATAACCTCGTTATTTTGACAATTTGGGGATGTAGGTCACGCCAAACGACTCAATGTTTTGATAGCCACCGTTTTTCTCGACTTTGTGCTCAAGTTATCATACGATTTAAGTGGGAAGCACGGGCGGATCTACGGGGGGGGGGGAGGGCTTTCGGGCTGAAGCCTCCCTCCCAAAATGGTAAAATATAACCATGTTTTATCGAAAAAAGATATTTAAAAAGTATCTCTTAAAGTATTATTGTTCGTGTAATTACATTTAAAAGGGCTTTAGGAATCACTTAACACCATATCATACAGGTAGTTAGTTTCTTTCTTTTTTTCCAAAGTAATTATCGTTATTTTCA